TCATTTACTCCTTTTAGTAGGTTTGTTTCCATTAATGATTGTATCATGCCCTGCTGCTAAAAAAATCCCAAATGTCAAGAGTTTACAGGAGCTCCCAAAAGCAGTTAAAAGGGCTTTTGTTTTGACTTGAATTAGTACCGCTAGAATCTCCTCTCTGCTGTGAGCTTTGAATCTTCATTAGAATGAATTTTAGTTTATTGAAAATTAACTCACTACAAATAAATAATTTGTAGAGCAGTTGTATGTACAAGTAATTAATACACTGATTTAGTGCTTTATTATGTCCCAGCCCTCTTCATGTGAATGTTTTCTGAAGCCAGAGTGTCACACAGCCCATTTAAAAAAAAATCTTAGAAGTCTTGCAGATAGATGCTTTGCTTTGCCTGATGCAATGCAGAAATACCTTTTATCTTTTCTTCCCTGCATCCTGCTTGCTCTTTTTCACACACCTTTCCTTCAACCATCAGTGGATAGTGTTGCCTTTTCTCTCTTCCTCCAAGCACAGTGAAGTCATATCCTTCTGTCTTTAGTACAGTTACTTATTGGTATCTTATTTTACACCATAATGTTGAATGTATCCAACTGCAGCAAAACCTCTGTGCTCTCTGCCTGTGGTTAGTGTCAAATGGTGCTTGTTAGGCCCTTAATTCAGAAAAAAATTCAGTTTCCCTTGTGCTGCACTGTGCAATCTATTGCAGTGCACTGCCACACTGCACAAACAAACCCTGTGGAATGAGCTGCAATGCACCTTCCACAAAAGAAATTGTACCCCTAAAATGCTGTTGGCTCCGATTTGCTCATAATATGCTGGAATTAAGAGGATCTTGAAAGAAATCAAGGAACAGACTGCATGTCGTGGTGTTTGCTTTCAGGAGGTGTTTCAGAAGGAGCATCAGAGTAACACCATGAAGACCTGGGCCCTCCGTGGAGCAGGCTGGCTCTCCATGTTTGTAGGCATCAGCCTAATGACCCGAATCTTTTACACATTAGGTAAGATTTTTACAGAAAGGTAAAATGATCTAAAGGTAAGATTGTAACCTCTAGAGAGTCTTCTTTTGCTCCCATAAGCAGTTAATTAGTTTGGAGACCAGAAGGAATCTGTTTTGAACTCAGATTTGATTTGATCTGAAAGTCACTGTAGGCAACTGCAGGTAAACAGGATCCCAAAACCGTCTGGTTGCTTTATGAACACTAAAAAAGCCCATGCAAATATCTGTTGCCAGTGTCAGAAGATCCAAGCCCAGTGCTTACCAAAATCAGAAGCCAAAGCACATGTTGGGCTGGTTCTTTCAAAAGGTGCTGCAAGACAATGACTTTCTGCACCCACATACAACTGGTCCCCCCTCAACAGGTCCTAATCAGGAGTTATGTAGGAGTATGTCCTCGTGTCTGGTTATTCTACACTATTGTAAACAACAGCAAAAGAAAGTTTTTGTTTATTCTTTTAACCTATAAAAGTGCTGGAATGAAAACAAAAAAGCAGGACGATGCCCCAATCTTGTATAAACTTCAGACATCAAAGATATCATTTGCTTTGTAGCTGGTAACTTTTTTTTCTGATCTGTTTAGCCATACACATGCTGCTGCAAGATCTGTTGTTACCAGAAATTAATTTTTGTGCTAGCATCTGGTATCACTTGCCCTAGACTTGTTCCATAGCTGCAAGGCTATTCATCTCCTCTGCCTCTCAAGCCTTGGACAAGTCTTCAGACTTCATTTTGGATTACTTCCTGTCTGAAGAGATCACAATAGCCTTGCCTTATATATTTAACTGCTGCTTAATTATCAAATGCCTTGAGGATGCCTGGAATGCCTTATCCAGTGCTCATGATAAATAACTTGAGTCTGTCTTCTGCCTGCAGTAGTTAGTGTGCAGGTCCTAGGCACACTTTCTTTAAAACTATCATCCTGTCAACTGCTTTATCCCATGTCTAATTCTCTCTGCAGTTGACTGGTTTCCTGTTGTGAGGGATCTGGTTAACATTGGATTAAAAGCATTTGCCTTCTGCGTAGCCACTTCACTGTCCCTCCTGACCATCTCCGTGGGGTGGCTCTTCTACCGCCCCCTCTGGGCTCTGCTCATCGGGCTGCTCTCTGTGGTTCCCGTCCTGGTGGCAAGATCTCGTGTTCCACCCAAGAAGCAGCAGTGAGAAGGAGGTGGTCAGGTCTTGAGCTGAATCCTGGTTAGAAACTTCTCAAGTGCTTTTCTATCCTGGTTCTGGCACTGTGCTTCCAGCAAATCACAGCTCAGCAGTGAGCACGAAGAGCTGGGGAGGGGGCTTGAGTGGGGCTGTTGATACACGTTATCCATGGGACTATAGGATGCTGTTTGTAGGAAGTCAGTGACATTAACTTTGTGGGGGAAAAAGCAATTTGGAGGGTCTGTGTTTATGATAAGTTAGTGAACAAGCAGCTTTGTGTCTCTTACTGCTTAGTAATTCCCCTGATTTGAGAACTGGCAAGTCCTCACTGATGGGTGTGGCACTTGTGTGTTTTGGAGAAGGTGCCAGCTGGATCCCATGGACCATGGTTGGATATCCTTAGGAAATACATGTGTGTACCTGTCCCTGACAAACCCTCCCTCTGCTGCCTTTTCTAGTAGCACAGTCAGGTACACACCTTTGGCTGACGCATTTGGCAGTGTGTGTGTTCAAATGGAAAATTGCTTAGGCAGATTCCACACAGTATTCATGTAAATCATGTGCTTTTGGACTGGGGATTTTCAGAGTAACTCAGTGTAATGAGTGGCCAGGTTAGCAGTGCTCTGAGGTTGGGCAAATTTAGCAGGAAACATTGATTTCCCCCAGCCTTTTAAAAGTCTCTGAAGTTGTTCTTGGTTAAGCATCCAAAATGATAGCCTGAACTATACCATTGCATAAGCATTTCAAAAATTTAACTTGAAATTGCACCTAAAGGGATACTCTGAGGTCACTAACCTGCTGCCTTGAAACAACATTAACTTTTATAATTGGATGTATAGTCTTTAAAATACTTGGGTTTTTTTTGACTGTGTACACTGTTTCTTTTGAATTTCACTTAGTAAGGACAATGAACATACTCCATGAAATTAAGTAATGGAAATGTTTTTGCCTGATTAGTTTTCATAGATTTTAGTAGCCTAAATTAAGAGCTTTGTATCATGCTAGAGGAATGCCTTCTTGTAGTGTTGTGGTGGCTCATGTTTACATATTTCTGTTGTAAGCAGTACTTGAGACTGGAGACACTCTTGTACTGTTTAAAGTCTCTCCACCAGGATGGGGTCTGTCTTCCAGATGGGCTTACAGTGTTTTGGGGGGTTCTGTAAGTACATACAATTCTGTACAAAAATAATGTCTTCATTTATGAAATCAATTTATGACCATCAGAAGAGTGTTCTGTGTACCCAAGGAACTTGACTTGAACATACATAAAAGCAAATGTTTGCTAGAAATGGTACTGCCAGAGAAATCAGTTACAAATCATAAATGTTCTGAGAAGTCGTCATTACTTTATCGGTCTTAATTACTTTAATTTTTTTGGTATTTGAATGTTGTCGGTTTAGTCTCGTGTCTCAGTTCTGTTGGTAAAAGCAGGAGCAGTGAGTGAAAGGACAGGAAGTGGATGTGACCTTATGCAGGCAGCTGGCCCATGTTAGTGGTACTGCAGAGTCTTCCTGCTGCTCACCAACACCAGCTTGTGCTCCACCAGTTAGGAATTGCACTCCACTGGGGAGAGAAAGGGGTTGGAATGCTGCTGTTTTGCCCATGATGCGGGACACTACCCAGCATTATCATATTAGAGATGAAGATACAATTTTCTACAGAAGTGCTGAGCTTTTGTATATTTAATAAAATACAGTTTTCAAAAGGTTGGTCTGTAGGCTTCTTTTTTATTAAATGTAAGTGCTGCACATTACATGTCCAGGAATAGCGTCCAGGTACGTGAGGATTAGTTTGTACCTTCCACGTGAACTAGTTTTCTGTTATTGGTTACAAAAAATGCACAGGTGAGTTTTGTTTGTCCTGCAAATACTTCCCCATTTTGGGAAGCAAGTTGCTAATAACAGCACAGCTGCTCTCTGGTTTGTGTACAGCCTGCCAGGGTTTGCTCCCCTTTACCAACTACTGAAATCAGTCACTTCTTTGCCTCTGCAAGATTATTTGAAAAATATGGTGGTTCAACCTGACTGCAACAGCCTCTTGTATTTTTAAACTGTTCATTCAGCAGTCTAAAATACTTTTGTCTTTCATCCCAGTGTGTGCACCAGAATGAAACACAACACATTTCAGATTCCTTCCACAAAGAACTTCACATTCCCCAGGCCAGGTGCTCTGGTGAAACCAAGACTCACTTTCACTGCATGTACATAAACAGTGTTCCTATAGGAACAACTTAAAGCACATTTACTCTTTCATCTTTCCCCACTTGAGTGGGGAGCAGTGGCTGTCCACGTGGCTGCAAAGCAGGATCCTGCTATCTGAAAATGTTCTTGGGTCTTTTCCAGCTGATTGTAAGTAATCCCTGGACTCAGAGCTTTGTGTATCCCTGCTGTGTGTCCCAAGTGAGGCAGCACAGAGTTGCTCTGGTACAGCTGATACCAGCTCCTGATTCAAGCTGATGAACAGCTACCAATCCCAGCAGAAGCTGGACATGGGCCCCACACTGAGCACACTCATCTCAGTGTATCCTGTGTCCACACCAACTCAGAAGGAAATACACCCTCTGGGCCCAGTGCAGTTTTAACCTGTTCCTGCAAGATACAGACTTCTTGAAGCTTTATGTGCACATCAGATCTGCTCCCCAAGCCTCCAGCTTAGGCTGGTCTTTATTTATTTTGAATTTGGTAGCAAAACCTGAATACTCAGAAGACCCTTAACGATAGAACAATTCACAAGCGGCTGGTTCTGGGATATCCTGGCACCCAGGATATTACAGCGTGTTCTTATCCACAGTCCTTCCAGGGAAACAGCTGCTTACAGAACAGCAAGCTGGCCAGAGGGGAGGTGTAACAGACAACAGATTCTTTTTTTCAAACTTTATTTTGATCTACAAATACAGTACAAAAATAGATTTCTTTTCTGAACATAATTACATGTAAGCCATTTTCTTGCATTTTAATCTTTCCTCTGTGACAAAGTCCAGCAATGACTAAACTGTTTTCCTCTCTACTTTTGAAGAGACAGTGTCAGTGAAATTTAGATATATAATACTGCAAAAGACAGATCAGTATTTCTACTACAAAGTGCAGGAAAAGCTTGTGTAGATTTTACATTCCTCTCTCAACAGTTTTTTAATGCTATGGTACTGAATAACAAGAACTCTATGGTTTCAGTGAATTTTGTTTCTGACAGTGACATTCAGCCAGTTTTACATCTTTTGCTTCAGAACAGGATCTTGGTAAGAAACAGAAGCAAATATGTATATATTCAAATTACATAAAAAGGCATACTGAATCTTAATTTTGAAATGATAACAGAACTTCTACCTTCCAAAGCACAATATTTCTGAACATAAAGGAAGACAGTAGGCTGAAAAGCCAAATCCAAGTTCCCAAATTTCAAGTATTCTTTACAAAGTAAATTTTGATTCCTCCAATTCCTGATTCGCTATTTCTTTAGATCTTAGAGGAAGTATATCCCCTTCTCTGATTATGAGACAGAAAGGCCAGAACTCTCACCATGGATTTGGATAAGCTATGGATCAAAGCAGGCATCAGCAGTCTTTTGGGCAGCTCTCCCACAGACACTTAAAGAGCAGCTGGATGCTTTAGTTCTGAGCAGGCAGGAAAAAATGAAAAGCAGTAAAAATGGGAAAAGAGGGAGCTAATGAAAGAAGTACCTCTGGAAACTGAATTATTAGAGCTGAGAGATTCAAAAGAGAAGAAAACCCCCAAACCCACAAAGTGATCTCCTCAAAAGGTACAACTGCAAATCTGCTGCTCCAAAGTCTAAGGATAAAAGGAAGAATCTAATTACCTGTATTATCAAAGGAAACTGGATACTGAATTAGGGTGGTCCCTGACAGCTCAGAAACACAAGTGCCCAGGAAGACTAAGTCCCTAACTGGCAAAGGATATTTTTATTATGACTAATGTTCTTGCATATGGAAATGTCAAGGAAAAAGCTTGCTCTAATCACAATTTCTCAAAAGGGAACAACTGTGCTTCTTCACCTTTCCTTTCTCGCTTGCTCTTTCTGGTTGTCTTCTCTCCTTCTTTTTTCTCTAACTGGCGATTTTGGGGCCAAGAAATGGCCACATTCCCCACTGCGCTCTCTGAGCTTGGAGCTCCTTCTTCATCAGAAGAGAATCCCGCCCCTTTCTCTGTCTCAGCTGCTGATGGCTCAGTCTGGAAAAAACAGGCATTCAAATCGTTAAGTTGTTCTAGGGAACACTCATAACCACCCCCTTCTAAAAGGGCTTGTCATCTGTCACAGTAACACTGAGTGACCTTACAGAAGTTGGTTGTTCCGGTTTGGGGCTATTTCTGGACGTCAAACATTCCTTCAACACAACCAAAATGTTTTTAATTATGGATAAATAAAACCAAACCTGCTTGAAAAAGGTCAGGTTTTCACTTTTCTCACTGGGGAAAATATTAAGAACTAAAATACCTGACTTCATAACAAAAAAGCATCCCATTCTCAGCCCATTAGCTACATGCTTGTCTTGGAGGAATAAATCTAGGAAGGGTGTATGTCAAAATAGAAAATAATACCAAAAAATTATGCTTTGGGAAGCAATAACCTCTTGTTAAACAATAATGAATCTTTGATGGACATGACCACATCGAATTTCTGGTGTAGTTTTTTTGACTAGGTGCTAGTCACATGCTACCACTGGGAAAGAAGAATAATTTTGAACAACTATACTCTGGGAATTCTAGTCTACAGTTGGAAATATAAATACTGGAAAGACTGGAAAAACATCTACCGGTAGAAAGATAACATCCTGAAAAAGAAATCACTAATAGAAATGCAGAATACCTTGATGGAGTAGCGTTTCTTCAGTTTCTCTCTGATGAGAAGTCCTTTTGTCAGCAGCTTCCAGTTTCCCAGAGCTCTCTTCTCACGCTTCTGTGGGGGATTGAAAAGAGAAAAATTTACAAGTTTCAATGTATTTGTGCCCACAGAAGACCAAAGTTCAAAGATTTTTTTTTTTAAACTGCCAACAAAAAACCCAAACCAAACAAAAAAAAAAATTAAATGTGGAAAAGATTACAGGCAAGATTACAGAAAAAGATTACAGGCAAATATATTTTTAAGTGTCAAATCTGCTTGTGTCCAATTACCTAAATATACAAATTACGCTCACTTTCTAATGTACACCACGACTGTGCAAATTACACCAGAACTACCTCCAAAACTTTAATCTTACCTGTGTATTCCTCGGTTTGTTTTCCAGCAGATGTGGAAAACTATTCCAGAGTATGCAGATACTGCTACACACTTGTATTGCATCCCACTGCAGTCTGGACAGCAAGTCCAAACTGGGGCTCTCGGGGGATGCACCAAGCCCCCCACAGTAACTGCTCTGTTTGTCGCTTACACAGCCCACCCTGTTTGACTGTCCACTGTTTCAATGAAATTCTTAACACATGTAACAATAAGGAAGCTGCAAAAATAACTCTCACCTCCTTATCCTTCTTTTCTATTTCTGCTTGTTCGTTCTCCCAGGCAGCAATGAGAACCTCTTTGTACTCCTCACACACCACGTAGCCATCGGTACTAGGAAGGAGAACACAATTCTCTGTCAGCTTGGAGAAAAAAGAAAGGGGGCAAATGCCTGCTGACCCAGCCAACCCAAAAGCTACTGAACACTGACAGAACTGTCTGTCTCAAAAGATCTAAGTGTGTAAGTGGTCACATGCACTCTTTAACACAGGGTATACAACTTCTGCAGGACATCAACATCTGGCAGCTGCAGCAAAGCAGTTTCACATACACTGGGTGTGAGTAGCCACCATGAAAATCAAATCCAGTGACGGCTTGAGCACAGTCAATGTTCAACTTCCGTGCCACTCTGTTCAGGTTTGGAAGCTTCAGCTGCACACAGCCAACAGGTAACATGGATGGCAGGAAGAGATAGACATTTCCATACTCGTTCCGAGGAACCTGTTATTGCAAAATTAAAGACAGATGGTGATATTCCTGCTTTTTGGAGGGAGGTGAAAATCCCTGCTGCAACTCAAGGGCTCTCCTTCCTTCTGACCTCCTGCATTCCACTCCAATTAACATTCACATGACAAGGCACAGGCCTAGATTTTAGCTGCATGGTTATCTCCTAGCTATGTGTTATGCCCAGGCCTTGTTATTCAGGCTGTAATGCAGAGAATTAGCAAAGCAAACATAGGCTAAGAAAATTAGACCAAGGAAATTACAACTCCAGCAGTCTGCACTGCCAGCACTAATGAAAGAGTACTGTACCCTTTTCTCTCCTGTACTCAGGGAAGAAAGATCTCAAAAGTTTTGACCATTTACTCCTGGGTACAGTTACCCCCAAACCCTTAATCCCGACTCCAGATGCTACTTACTGATCTGAAACATGCAACTTCTAGAAAAATAAAGTCCAGAGTTCCATACAAACACTTCCTTTAACACCAGCCCTCTGCCTTCCCAGCTACCTTTCCATCCACTGCTATAGGAGGCTGATACTCCTCTGTCTGCCAGCGGCCGAACAGCGCCAGGTCCTCTCGGTCCCGGTTTGCCGGCTCCGCGAGGCGTGCCTTCCTCGCCTGGTTGGAAAATCCTTTCACCATCTGCAAAAAGAACAACCAAGCCTGTAACACCACCTGACAACAAGCTGACACTGATTTCAGATTTTCCTAGGACATCAAAGGAGGAGGTTCTGAGAGACCAGAAATGCTATTTCCTGGATTCAGTATCCACTGCCTATAAATGATAACCCACGGCACCTTGTATGCAACAGGCAGCCACATCAGCAGTGCACATAAAATACTAGGATGTCTTTGAAGAAGATGAAAAGGGAGCAGTTCTGCCAGATACCCTCAGGGTGGGAAGAAGAGAAAACTAGGCTTTGGGTAGTATGTAGAACTATAGGCACAGCAGGTGGACAGATTCACAGTGCAGCTACCAAAAGGCACGCAAGCGAGAAATCTGCATCTGCTGACAGAAGACAAAAACCAAAACAGAACTCAGCTTGAGCTTCAGGGGGCAGGTGTATTGCACAGGAGGAAGTCAAACCCTCTTACCTTATAAGGCACTTCTCCAATCCTCACCACCCGAGCTTGCTTCAGCCAAGTGTCCCTGGAGTGCAGTGTGTGTACACAGTCTCTAAAAAGGCCAGAAAGAAGCAAACATAAGAATATTGAAGTGATCTATAAAAGATCTTCCAAAATGTTAGTAGTAGTAGAAAAGCTGTCTGAGCAGCAAAATGTCTCACCTGTCTATGCCTGTGGCCCAAGACTACTCCTGATACCATCAAGCAAATTAGCTTTTCAGTTTGTTACAAGTGTCACAGATGCAGCTGACAACAAGTGCACAACTCACCTGGCATAGACAGCCTCTCCCCTGCAGTACCCCAGGATAGCAGCTGACTCAGGATAGATCGCCTGGAATTTCAAGAGGTGCCTCTTCAGTGCATAGAGAGGGTGGTTTTTGTACTCTCCAATTGCTGTTGGTAGAGGCTGATCTTGAAGCTTAACTTGAAACTGTAGGAATTATACAAAGGAGAGTGATTTCACAACTCTCTTGCACTACTATGACTACAGTATGGATCAGAGGAAAAAAACACCAGAAACTTAATCAGATGAGTCAACAGACCAAAGCATTCTTGTTGCCAACAGGTACAAAGATATGTGTACTCAGATTTCTGTATTTCAAAGACTCTGAGCAGGGTAATGTTGAACTATACAGAAATCGTTATGTTTCCAGCATGAGCTGTGCAGTACTTTTGCTAAGCAAATTTCTCTGAACAGACTCTAATCAATATTATTTTAATTTACTATTGTATATCCCCTTTAAAACATGCTCCATCTCAACATTTCAAGCTCAAGTACAAACTTCCTTCCTCGTGGAAAGATTCCCAATGATTTTTCCCTGAATGAGAACCCAAGGACTGGACTCCTGGCACTAAATGTTTTGAACAACCTGTTGCCATTTACCTCAGCTTCTTCCTTCCTGTCTCTTTCCACATAGGGACTTTCATAGGGCTGCAGCGTCTCTTCCCACCACTCAGGGTCCACACGGCTCTTCCTCGTTGCAGTCATCCACACTGGATCGTACCTCTGTGTCACGTCCCTGACGCTCCCGTCGTTGTCGAACCCCACCACGTAAAAAAGCGGCTTTGTGGCATGTGTGAAGCACAGCTGGGGCTGGCCAACGTTGCCATGAACACAGTCTACAGAAACCCATTTGTCCTCACTTTCAAGGAAAACCTCCAGCCACTGGTCTGTGCCCGTTGCTTTCCTCACCTCCTGCTGTCCATCATCCTCATCACTAGAAATGATTTTGTTTCTCTTTTTCTGACCTGGAGGCAAGGCTGGAGCTGTATTTTTTGCTGGCTTAGGCTCAGATCCACACGAATTTTTTGACAGCCTTGATTCTGAAGTCTCAGTTTTAGGGCTTTTTATAGTTGTCATCTTTGACTTCTGAGAGGCCAGTGAGCTCCTCCGCCTTTTAGAGACAGTTTCAAAATCCTCATCAGAGAGATCACTCTCCTCCTCTGAAACCTCAAAGTCCGAAACACTGCCCTCATCACTTTCACTCTCTTCCTTGTAACAGACTTTGGAGGCCACTCGTCTCCGCCGATCGTTCTTGGGCCTGACTGACACATCTTTTTCTGCTAAACTGCTCTCATTACTTGATTCCTTCTGTTCCTGGCTGCCTTTAGCCAGCTTTGACTTGTGTGTCCCTTTGGTCTGAGCAGTTCTGGCTTTCTTTGGTTCCTTGATGTCTTCTTCGCTCTCTGAGGATTTCTCATCCTGCTTGGCTTTTTTGCAGGGGCATTTTTTTGCCACAGCTTTGGGTGTTGTGGCAGAACTCTCCTGTCTCTCAGAGGTGTTGCTGAGAGACGGCCTCTTGGATGAGCTCTTTCCCTGCAAAGAAACAGGCTAGGTCACTTTTATCACCCTGGCTAAGAATGTTAAAAAAAAAGACTGAAATCAGCCCAAGGTTCATGCAGACCAAAGGTTGGCAGGCATGGTCAGTTGGCATGTCTTAGGGGCACGAAAACTTCAGGTAAATGGCTGAAGAAAGGTGTACTCATGCAGCAAGTGTTTCCTAAGTTTTAAACAAATGTAAAACCACTGAAGCATAAGATGTGTTTGCTGAAGCATAAAAATGCGTGGCTTTTTTAAAGGAGAAAACTAAAAATTCAGGGTTTGCCTTTTTTTGCACTATAGACAGAACACTGGTTCATGCAGTAAGTGATTCGCTATAAGTTGCAACAGCCAGAAAGTTTTTTTAAATCCTACTAAATCAGTGACCTATTCTTTATTCAATACAAATAACAGAAACTACCTTTGGTCTTGTCTCCTTGAGAGGAATAGGCTGAAAAGACAGCACGAGGCGACACAGCAGCTGTAATGCTCGCAGAATAATTAAAAATATCTGCAAAACAATTTAAATTGAATTTAATCACAGGACTCCAGATCAAAATACAACAAAATAAAAAGCCACAGAATCACCTACGCGACCAATCTATTTTCTCCAAATCCAACCCTCACAACCACTTTGTGTATGACCTGACATACAGCACTGATCCAGCACCCAAACTCAGCAACCAACCCTGCACTCCCCAATCTCTTACATGAACCAACTCCTCATCATCCTGTGCAGCATACACAGCAAAGCGCCTCTCCAAGGTCGACTGAAGGGGCTCTCCTTTTTCAGTGGAAAGCTCATCATTTACAGTGAAGGTTCCAATAAACCTGAAATATGAGACACCTACTTACTGTTTAGTGTTTGTGACTGTATTCTTAAACTTCAGAGTTGAGCCTGTCCTGTTAAAAGGACAGACTCTCACCCGTGTATTTAAAATTAAAAAAATCACTGAAAATTGGTCATTAGTTACTCCTCTCCCTGAACTCTCGCTCTACATTCTATGACAGCATGATTTCTAGAAAAGTTTTACCATTTCACCAAGTTGGAAAGGTAAATTAGGTCCACTTTGTCTGCTGGCACTTTGGTGAAGCGGATGGGGATGACGGACAGACCGATGGCAAGGAGATCTGGCTGACTGCAGATCCTGTTCCGATAGAAACCATTCGCTAACAAACACAGGAGGTGAACCTGAGAGAAAAGTTTTTGTAGTGAGTTCTCAAGAGATTTTCTTTAGTGGAACTTCTGTCCATGGTAAAGTTGATGAACACTTCACTGCTTCTTCTAACAGAGACAGGCAACAATGAAGCCTCCCAAGCATTCACGGGGTGGAAACAGCACTGTCTTCAGAAGACAGGAAAGCCTTGCAGTCCCTGTTAGTGTCTCCTGCTCTACATGACTGGCAGTTTAACCCTGACAAAATGAAAAGATATCCCTCAGTGGAGAAATATACATCCTACTTGCATATGGTTTGAGTTAGAATTTTACTAATGCAGACACTGATGTTTCCAACTCACAGTTTAGATGAGTCTAACAATCATTTGTCAGGACTACAGCCTTTTTATTTTTTCACTTCTAGCCATGGCCCCATATTATTTGGTCAAAACTAAATTTCTTCTTTATTACAAATCAGTTCAGAAATCTTTATGCTCAGCTTTTTCTCTGCAAGGGTCCTCTGTGACAAATACCTTATGTGTGTCCTCACGAACCTCCTTGCTGAAACGTTTCATCATCCTCCGAAGATACGTCTCAAACTCGGCTTTCCTTTTTTCTCTGCAGAAGATTACAAAAAGATGGATGCTGTGGGATTTCTGTGGGCCTGCCTTTCCAGCCTCCTGAACTGCGTCAGTTCACAAAGAGAATCCGTCCCAGAGAATCTTCTGGGCACACTTACAGAAAAGTTTAGTTACTGGCTATGTGAATAGGCAAGCAGGATATATATGACTGTGAACTCCATGCACCTGACTTACTGAGACCTTGGTATATTCAGATGGTCTAAATTCCACCTAACTTCACGTGCCTTCAGTTTCTTATCAACAGTTTTGGACAGCTCCATACTATATTTAACTGAATTGTCTGACTTTTACATTACTGCTGGCATTCCATTGAGATTCCAGGAAAATTGATTTTCTCATCATCAGGTCTCCAGCCACCACCCAAAGCCAGCCTTCCTTGAGATAATGCTCCCAAATGCCAAGGGCATTCATTTGACCCACCTATTCACACCTCAGGTAGGGGCACACAGAAGCTTCCACCTGAGCTATTGAGACATTTGCAGTAACAAAATGCCAGTTACTCACAGCTCTCCTTGCAGAGATCTACTGCTGTCCCTTGATTTAGAAAATATACGTACTAAAGCACAACGAAGTTACAGGCTTGATTTTCAAGGAAGCTGAAAAGCTTCTAATCCTGCCAACTTCCACTGAAGATTTTTGGTAAACTGTCAGTGTGTAAACTGTTCTCCATCCCATGACCCTTCATCATTCCAACTCAATGGTCTGCACAAAGTGGGAATTTTCACCCAGAACACAGCAAGTCAGTGACAGTCAAGACTTAGCATATTTTTTAACTTCATCCTTTACCAGCCCTCCGATGCCTCCCTGTTCTTACCTCCTCTCTCTTTTCTTCATCTGCTCTGGGGTTTCAATCTCTATCTCCACAGGTTTGCTTGGCAGCCCTACTGCTGGAAGAACAGCAGCTTCTTCAAACTTATCTGTGGCAGGTTCCTGGAGTTCTGAAAAAAAAAAATTACTAAGTTATAAGTAAACATGGAATAGATCCCCAGGGAGGACAGACAATGGGATAAGAACCTACATTTTCCTTCTCAAGTACTCAACCTATATAAACAGAACATCCCCAGTAATAACCAGTTCCCAGATCTTCCATAACACTGTGTGTGCTCAGTTATTTCAAATAACTGTTGGATGCCAGTCACCTGCTGTTGAAGAATCAACTCAGAACAGTTTAATGGCAAGTGACTGTCACAGGCAAACTCAATCAGGAGAAAGGTGAATGACGCAGATGTGACTTCAAGGGTACTTGTAAAATAGCAAAGAGAAAAACTGACAGCTCTTCACTTTAGAAGGCATAAACCTGTAGCAGCAAAATAAGAAGATTATGATCATCATGATTCTTAACACAGTTTGTTGATGGCCACGTAATCAAACAGCTCAGTTGGTTTCATCTTCACTCTCCTTTACTGGGAATTCAGAGATTTGAATCTTCAAACTGACTCATTTTTAGCTGCTCAGTATCTGCCAACACAAGCAGCTGAGAAAGTGCTTTGTGCACGGCAGAGTGATTTTAAAGTTAAGCCAAAAAGGTCAGGAACTGTGTGTCTCTTTTTCTTCTTTGGAACCTTTCTAAAAGTATTGTGAGATATGAGCTTTTAGATACAGATATACACATGGAGCACACTTTAGGTATACAGGGTATAAGCATTTACCTGAATCCAAATGAGGAATGGTTCAAAAACCAAATTATTAAAAAAATAAATTTTTAAAAATTATTAAACATGCAATTGTTACCTTCCACGTCCTCCCATTCATCTTCACTTTCATCATCATCATCATCATTATCATTGTCAGTATTGTCTTCACCCATCTCTTTTTTAACAGGAGATTCTTTCTTCAACTTCATCTCCTTCTGAGGGGGCTTCAGTGAGTCACTCCTAAAATTATCAAAACAGCTTCAGCACCAGGAAGTGTAGGTGCTTGTTTATTTAAGAAGAACAGACAGAAGACACTAAAAATAGGGAAATCAATGAAGCATGGCCTCTGCATCAATAACAACAGACTGAGTATTTGACAATTAACCACAGAAATCGTCTCTGTAGAGCAAACTATTTCTGCCATAAATAACCACGGGCTCAATGGAGCAACATGTTTCCAGTGCAAACTTAGGTTCTGATTCTGCATGCATGTTTAAAAAGGAAACAACCTAAACTTGAGCCATGCCTGAACCTACAGAAGGTCCCGTCCTTTAGAACAGCTTGTGCAAACCAGTCCTTGGAGAAATGGTTCACTGAATCATTTGTTGTTAGTGTGTACTGAAATTGGAGCTGTTTCTGTTTCCCTACAATAACGCCCAAAGCTCTGGCTGGCCAGTGAAATGAGACCAATCAGTTTAATTTCTTTTTATTCATTTATTTACTATAGCAATCTACACATGCAGACTGCACTGATATTATATTTGTATTAAAAAGAACCGACCACGGAGTGATATGTTTAAAGATTTCTGCCTATCTCAGGCAGATGTTCAAATCTCAGGACAACATTTATTCATGCTGGATTCCATAAAGACTCGCCGGTCCCATGTAAAAACTAAAACAAATGAAATAAAATTTTATATTTAAACAACTGAATTTGGAAAGGCTCACAGATTTCCTTCCCATGCAGCCTATCTTCCTCAGGACTGACCCTGCAATGAATAAGATGGTACTTCTGCTCATCTGCATGACACAAATGTACTAAATTGGACTGAGAGCCTAAAATACACTGCTCACAACCACATACACAGAACCAGGACCTAAAGAAACCAGATGAGGAGGATGCTCCCATAGACTGGAATGATAAGTAAACGTACCTGCACATTTCCTCTTTGTTACGATTCTCTTTATTTCTACCATTCTTTTTATTTTCTTTTATTTGTGATTTTGCCCCTGTTTGTTTTGAAGATCTGGAAGTTTTTGCTGAGTTGGAGGCTCCATTATCACAAACTTCTTCCTTTTTCCTAGCTGGAGCTTTGGAGTTCTTTTTTATACTGGGCTTTTCCTCTTCAAAATCATCTGCACGGGACAGAAGAAGGGAAGATACGTTAAAGGATGAAGTTTCATCTCCATGGCAACCAGAAACAATATCTCCGTGGACCTCATTAGAGGCAGCTACAGAACTGTCAGCAGTCACAACGTTGAGTTTGTGAACATATAGGTAAGATTCGAACCACGAGACTTGTTTAAGGAAAATATTTATAGTAACGCAATAGTAACAAAATACAGGAACACAAGATGCCCCTAAAGATTCCTGGAGTCCTACCGATGGGGTCGGCTGAAAACCAAGCATCGTGCTCGCCACCCACAACAACTTATTACTCTGTGAAGCTGCGAGGTGAGACACCCCCCCCCGGCTCGCTCATCCTTTGTGAGCGCTCCTGGGCAGCGTGCGGGGCCCGCGGCACACGCGGGTTTGACCCGCGATCTCTGTGCGCCCCTGGCACGGGTAACACCGCCGATCCCCTCGCCGATCCCCCCCACCCCTCCAGCCCGGGGTGACAGCCCTTCCCGTCCCGGGGCTGCCCCCGCTGCCCCCCCGGGATGGAGCGGCCCCAACCCGCGGCGATGGCGCAGCGCCCGGTGCGGCCCGACACGGCCTCCGTGCCGCACTCACCCTCCTGCTCCTCCTCCTCCCGCAGCCCCCCGGAGCGTCTCTTTCTGGCAGCCGCGGGCCGGGGCGATGCTTTGCGCTTCCTGCCCATGGCGCTGCCCGCAGTCCCGGGCGGGCCCGGCCCGGCCCCGCGCAGGGGAAGCAGCAGGGGAAGGGGCCGGGCCATAAAGTCTCGCGGGCGGGCGCGGGAGGCGGTTTGAAAGATGGCGGATGAGGTGGATCAGGTGAGCGGCTCCCGCGGCTCCCGCGGAGCGGAGGGAAGGAGCTCCCGGTGCCTCCCGCCTCCGTCCGCGGGCCCGGGGCGGGAGGGAGAGGCAGCTCTCGGCTGCCCGGCTGGGTGGGCACGCCCGAGCCCGGGCAGCCTCCGTGAGGCGCAGCCTCCCGGCGAGCGTTTTCCGTGTGGAATGATTCCTGCCGGGGCTCGGAGCTTCTTGTGCCGGCGCCGGGGGGCGGACGAGGCTCCCTTCAGGCCCGTTTGCCTGGGGAGGGAAATGCGGGAAAGCTGCCGAGGGCAATGCCTTCTGCCTGAGGAGGAAGAAAGGAGGGAGCAAGCTGCGGGGTGTGCACGGAAGGGTTCACGGTCTTTCACTTGTGATCCTCAAAGCGCGCCGTTATCCCAAAAAGGGGCCTGAGCCCGGTGTGTTCAGGTTTCAAAGCAGCCTCGGGGCCTGGCCTGGCTGCCCTGGGGCCGAGCAAGGCCTCGGGAGGGAAGGGGCTGTGTGGGGCACTGTGTGACCGGGGCACTGAGGGTGCTGGCAGAGGTGTCAGCCTGGGTTTGGCTGTTCTGGCCTGCACCCTGCCCGTGGCACCGCTCTGGTGCTGGTTCACGTGTAGGCTCTCTGCTGCAGTGGGGGCGATGGCTGCTGGTAAGGAAAACTGTTTCATAGAATCACAGAATGGTTTGGGTTAGAAGGGGCCTAAAGGTCACCTAAGTTCAACCCCTCTGTGTGTGATGTGTGATTTGCTGTGAATTAAACAAGTCTTTAAGCTCCTGTTGCTTAGGCTGGTGAATATCCATAGACTGGTAAATAGCTGCACTCAGGTTCTTCAAGATGTGAACAGATGATTTGAAATACTTGCATCTGTGTTCTTACTTCTGTTTTCTGTGTCTCACAAACACTGAGGAATGGAAAAGTTCACAGGTTTCTCCTGTACAAGTAACTCTTATGTTTTGTTTTTTTAGCAACAAACAACAAATACTGTAGAGGAGCCACTTGATCTCATCAGACTCAGTCTAGATGAGCGAATTTATGTCAAAATGCGGAATGACAGAGAGCTTAGAGGCAGGCTACACGTAAGTAAAACATTCAGAACACTGTCATACTCATTCAGCTAAGTACTGGGCGACTGTTTTTTATGTACAACAGGCTGCTACGCAAGTTTACCTGTAATATTCCATTAATTGTTCAAAAAATTAGTTTGGAACCACAAGTGTTTGTATCTCACGGTTGAAAGTGTGGAAGGGGTTAGAGAAGGTAGGTTAAAATTCATCTAACTAACCAGGTCTGAGCATTTTCTCTTACAGAAGTGTAATGTGATAGGTGAAAAAATGTGGTTTGTTCACTTCTTTGTCTGCTGTTAACTGCCTCCCTTGAAAGTTAGGAGATGTATTTTGATTCTTGTCACCTGAATGATACCAAGCAATTCATTTCACTGCTCTTGACTTACATTTCTGTGTCTGTGAAATGAGCAATAATGCTGCAAGCCTCTTCTTGTGATGTACCCTGAGGTCTCTTCAAGACAGAACTAATGGGGTTGTCACTATCACATGAGTATCTCTTGAGGCACACCCAGTGAGGGTATGATGGGATATATTCTCAGCTGGGTTCTCTGTAAATCTCATTTGTGTAAGTGCTTTCTTCTGAGATATGTCTCTTGCTGAAACAGATTTTTGCTTTCTTTTAAGTTAGTTATCCTCCCTGAGTGTTGTGCTTTGCTGGGGAAGAGAACCAGTTGCCCTATGTGTTAACTGGGCCTCAGTTCCTTTGGAAACACAGAGGTGATGAGAAATCCATGAGGCACATTTGTAGTTTCCAACATGCTTTTGTAAGGTTTCTGGGACATGCATTTATTTTAAGTTTCTGTAGCGCTGTATGTGAAACAGCTTTCATATCCTTTAAGTTGTCCCCAGGCAATCAATTTCAGGAGGCAGGACTGGCAGCACAGAATGTGTAGCTGGTTTAATGTTAATGAAGTGTGTGTGTCTCTGAGTTCTTGTATGTGTTCTCACACAATGATTCAGAGCTATTTCCTGGAAGAGTGTTTCAGTAAGTGTAAATGTTTTCCCTTTTTTTTTTTTCTGCAGAGTACCCATTTGTTTATGTTTGTTTGGAATTATAACTACAACTGAAACTACTTTGTTTTGACATAGTGATGTATTTTGGTCAAAATCAGACTAAACTAATTTTGTATGAAAGACTTGCTAAAATTCTCATTTTAGTAAACTGATTTTTGAATTTTGGAAGAAATAGTAAAATAACTTCATTCCTACAGGCATATGATCAACACTTAAATATGATTTTGGGTGATGTGGAAGAAACTGTGACTACAATAGAGATTGATGAAGAAACCTACGAAGAGATTTATAAAGTAAGGATGTAGTGTATTTATCCCCATAGATTCTTTTTTTTAAAAACTACACTGTAATGTTGTTCAAGTAGTTTATTGCTGACTGTTTTTTGAATCAAGCTCTAACAGATGTTTGGGACAAATTGTTATGAAAGTACACAGGATATCCAAAGATTTTGTGTTACTTGTATTGATCTCTTCAGTGTCTCAGGACATTGTGTGTTTGTTGGGGTTGTTTCAGGTGTGTTTTTATGATTAAATTTGGTCATATACTTAGCAGATATGTTTTCTGAACTATGATTTTGTAAGTGTAAACTTTTCTCCTTTCCTTTCTCACAGTCTACCAAAAGGAATATTCCGATGCTCTTTGTCAGAGGGGACGGTGTTGTGCTTGTAGCTCCCCCGCTGAGGGTTGGTTGAAGCAACAAAGGATTTAACCTTCTTGGAGAGTTCCAGACTTGTGGACAGTGTTTTGTGTTTCAATCATGTGTCTCCAAATTCTGTATATGTTTTTTATAAGATGTTTTTGTCCTTTTGGGAAGGGGAGGGAAGGGGAACTAGTTTGTCTGGCAGAAAGTAGCCAGTTGAAGCAGTGTAAACCCAACCTGATTTTCTCAGAATTAATGTAACTGCTGTAAATTGGCTGTCTTGTCAAATCAGTAAAAGAATCCTTCATTTTTTTCAGTCTTCGTAATAGCACCGTCTTTTATGTTTGCTTATTTGTTTTAAATAAATTTTGGGTTATCTTTCAGATTTGACTTGTCATGTTTTTGTGTTGAGGACAAATATTCTTCTACAGAGCTAGTTCTTAATTAAAGTTACAGTATGCAGCCTCACTTTCTGAGAAACTAGTAACTTTAATGTGTTGTTTTAACTTCTGTCCTTACTAATACACGAGTCTTGCAGATTGTTGTTTTGGGGGATAACACTACATGAATCAATGGTGCTGTAATCTATGGCTTTTCTGTGTTTAAATTCTTGATACATATCCTTGTAGCAGGGAAATGGGATTTATATAAATCTTCCACTTAAGATGTGTAAAAAAACACGGGCTTCTTTGCAATCTTTTGAGATGTTTTTATTGTGGCTTTGTTAACAGAGCTATGATTTGCAAGACCATAAATAGAGACTGAGTTTGTTGCTCCCAGGCTGTTGAGCTGCCTGCTGCATGCATTCACTTCCCACTGTCTGTAGCTTGTTTCAGTTCTTGAGTACATTAAATTCTGCTGGATGCCTAAGACGCTCATTAGTTATCTGCAGTGAAGATACACTAGAACCCTGAACAAAGCTCTTTTTTAATACCTATTTTTACAGGCCCACCCTGTTTGCAATTTATTCTCTTTCCTGTGTGGAAAAAGGCACGCTATAATTATGTTGTAGAGGCACATGAGAGACGTAGGTCTGCATTGGAGTATTTCCTACAAAGCTTGACTTGTGCCTTAGTAAACTTAATTTATCCAGGTGATCTGTAGGCTTAGCAAAAGCAGCTTGCTCTGGCACTGTTACAGTTAAAAATCTTCATGACAGTCCATAGCTCGTGGCAGTGGCAAGGAATGCAAGGTCTACCTCGGTGACCTCTAAGCAAGATTCTTCTTAAATGCTAATTTTTTGGTAGTAAAATATATGCACTGAGAAGATGAATGTATGCTTCATGCTCTTTGAAACAAGAAAAGCGGGAACTGATACAAAATCTGCTCTGGTTTCTAGGTGACATCTATATTCTGTTGTTCTCACACAATGTCCTCTAGTATTAGGACAGTAGGAGTGCCAGCTGAAACTGATGGAGTGAAGCTGAGAATTGTGTTAGTAGCAATTATAGTCTTAAATCATTAATCATATGGAGGTTTGCTGCCATATTTCTTGCACTTTGTTAGAAAGAACAAATCACTCCACTTGTACCCACACGCAAGAATTTGTTATCTTAAACCTGTGCATAGACTGGTCCCTTGTATGCAAATGAAAGAAGAAAGCACCTGTACAGCTTGCTGTGATTACATTATCTGAATGAAGAACAGGTGTGCAGTGGCTTTGTAGCCAATTCCCTCACTGCTCCACCCTTGCTGGAAGGACAGACAGCCTGCTGTCTCTGCAAGAGGGGGTTCAGAGAGAATCCACTCCTGATCCATGCATTCACAACTCTTGATGTTGCAAGAAAGCCAGTGATGCTACAGCTGTTCCCCTGCTGGAAGGGTGCAAGGATGACTGCACTGAGGTAATTTTTAGTCTGTTATCTTCTATCACTCTGGGAGGCCAAATAAATGCTTAGGGGGAACACAGTGATAGTCCTGCAGTTCCCAGGATCTGCACATCTGGGAAAGGAGAGAGTATGTTTCACAGAACCTGAGGGATTTCCCTTCCACTAATTAGTCTACACCCTTTTAGGAGTCTGGTAAGGGCCTGTCACAGGCTGAACTGTTTGTTCTCTGAAAAGATACTTCTGTTTTTGGCTTTGACTGCCTTGGGCTTGATTTTGAACTTGCTGCCTCTTGCTTTCATATGTGTGCCACTGTTGGCAGCAGCCCAAATGAATCCCCAAAAAACAGAACAACAAAAAAAAACCAAGCAAACCAAACCCTAGAC